AGGAGGGAGCCGCCTTTAACCAAATTTTGGCCAATAGATATGCTGGTTCGAGGGCCCCTGGGAACCGCGAAGGATGAGTATATTCCCCCGAGCCCCTGCGCTTGGAGCCGCGGGCAGGGGTAAGGCTGGGCGGCGGAAGGATGAGATGATGGGCCCCCGCCCGTGGAAAGCTGTGGGCGCCCGTGGTGGGGGATGAGGAAAGATCCCTGTTGCGGTGGGGGGATGTTGGGGGGTTGTATGGGGCATTATATGTTTAAGAAGTGAGCGGTACTAGTTACCATTTGAGTATCCTTTCACATTTTAGCTTCACATTTTTGCTACTGGCGACGGCGCTTGTGGTTCTGCTTCTTGTGGTTTGTTTTATGACACTAATTTCCTCGTTGACATGTTTGGTTTTTGGGGGGGTTGGAGGGCGTAGGGGGGTGTTTCCGGAGTCGTACTTTCTTCCTCTTCCCCTCCATCTCTAGAATACACCCTGTGCCTATTTCATTTTCCTAATCCTTCTCCACGTTCTAACTAGGAGTTTGTTATCATTAAGCGGACCGAATTTCCCCTCTGGTGTTATTCCTATTCCTTTTCCTATTGATAATCTTTTGTACTTGACAGCTAAATATACCTTTTGAGATACTTCCTTTGTAAGGGCGTTTTCTTTTTCTTCTTCTTCTTCTTCTTCTTCTTCTTCCTCCTCCTTTGAAAGAGAGCATATTCTTTCTGTGTATGTGCTCGCACATATTTTAATTGTTACAAAAATGAATATCAGCATCAAATCTTACATTGTATCAACTGAGCAGATTATACGTAACGTATTTTTGATAGTCCTTGGAAACCGCCGAGGCAGCGCCATTGTAGTCACATGATTACTAGCTCTTGAGCCGCGTCCGATGGACCTTAAACTTGCTCAAGTCGATCTTAAAAAGATTTTGCCTGTGCTTTTGTTCACGCGGGGAACAGGGATAATACTTGACAACCTCCGTTTCCTCCCCTCATATACTTTATAGTATACTTCATACGGATCCCACATTCCCGAATTCCTCCTGCAGCTACGATCCTTCTGTCCCCTTTTTCTTCTTCTTTTTTTTCTATTCGCAACATCCTGGGCAGAACCATATACGGACGACGCGAGCTAGCTGTCACGGTACATCCACAGCAGGGCATCGGGGATAGGCTGCGAGCTGGCTATCGCGTGCGGTGAAGGACGGATCATATCAATCAACAACAGAGGAGATTGAGAGACACGGGATCAGAGGGGACGAGGGTGGTTGGGATTTTTTTCTCCCCCCCCCCTCCCGAGCTCTCCAATAAATAAATAAATAAAATAACGGGGGTGATTGCAAGGCGCGCGCGGCGGCGGCGGGGTGTTTGTTGGTATCAATCATATATTCGGCACCCACTCTTCCTCGCTTTTCGTGTGTTTCGCTCGATTCATTTGCCGCTGAATGATGCGATAACGACTTGGGAGTTTTGCTTTTTTCCTTTCTCTCTTTCACACTCTCACACTCTCTCCTCCCTCACTCTCACTTACTCACTTACTCTCTCTTTTTCTTTTTTTCTTTTCCCGGTTCGATTACGACCGGTACTAAGAGAGGGTTTATGGAGGAAAAAGTGATAACGAGTGAATGAGTGAATGAATGAAGGGCCTTTACAGAAGCTACGGCTGCGATTTGCGAGTTTTGTCACGGGTAGGAAAGGTCAGAATATTGGCGGCAGTCTGGAAAACGAATCCGCTACTACCCGGGAAGACTACGCTCTGTTGGATTATTGGACGTGAAGTGAGGGTGAGGAGGATTGTTGCACAACACGATAACGCACCATCTATAAGCTTACGCTTTGCCCCGACTTTTTCTTGTCTACGGCCAAAACTTGTGAAACTTGAAGACAAATCTGGAAGAAGAGCGGGACAGGGACCGAATAAATGGCGGCTAGCGTGGGCAGCCATGCTGTGGCATATAAGAAGAGGGATGGCTCCTTGATGATGGCTTCGGATGGAAAATCAATTACATGGGCACCCAAGGGGAGTGGTTCCGGTTTGTTGCCTGTGACCATTAACGTTGCAGATATTACACGTATGTCCTCTCTTTTTGCCCTTTGGAGATGGATGTTTCCGGATAGCTGATTTTACGAGCCCTTTCACGTATACTTAGATCTCCAACAAACTCCCGCGACGAGTCCAAAAGTTATGCTGAAGGTATTCGCGCAAGCCACCACTATTAATCCCAGCGCCGGCCCCAGTCCTAACAACGCCCCTCCGGGCGCAACGGAACAGTATATCTTTTCCTTCACGTCGGGAACAAACGCACGTGCCGAGGCTGATGCGATCAAAGATGCCCTCAGTGCAACCATCCAGGCAATAAAAACAGGACAGGTCCCTACAAAAGAAAGCGCACCAGCCGCGATGGCGATTGCAAGTGCACTATCTTCAGCAGCGGGAAAACCATCATGGGACGACGATAGCCGACTGATTGCAGACGTGGAACTACAGCAATCCCTCCTGAAGTTTGATCCAGCCCTGCAGAGAGTGTTTATGGAAACGCTTCGCACGAAGGCCGAAACAGTTAGTAATGCACAATTTGTGTCGCAGTTTTGGTCAACAAGAGTACATCTCCTGCGAGCGCATGCGATTGAAAAGTCTCAAACTCGCGGGTCATATAACGTACTCTCAACGTTGAAGCCGCGGGTGGAGGATAACGTGACCAAACTTAATATCAGCAAGGAGCAGATCCAGCTTATATTCAGCCAGCATCCGCTGGTTAAGAAGGTTTACGATGAGAATGTCCCCAAGCTAACGGAGCAGCAGTTCTGGTCGCGGTTTTTCCAGAGTCGGTTGTTTAAGAAGTTGCGCGGTGAGCGGGTGACGGACGCGGATCCGACTGATCCGATTCTGGACAAGTATCTTCGTGTTGATGAGTATGCAGGCCGTTCGTGGACGGCGAACGTGCCGCATATTATTGATCTTGAGGGAAATGAGGAGAATCATAGTCAGAGGCAGGGGAATAGACCGAATTTCGACATGAGGCCTGCCGACATGGATAAGGTGCCAATTATACGGACTTTGAATTCGCTAAGTGAGAAGATCATGGCGAATGTCACGCCGGTTGATGCGGACCCATCTGCGCCGATTGGTCTGAGCGAAGAGGCATACAATGAGTTGCAGCTTCGTGATTTACGCGAAGACGAAGAGTTGAAGCGAATCACATTAAACGTGCGTGATCAGAGCCTTTTTTTGACTGAGACCAAACCTGCAGAGGACGAGGAGACCCGAATATTTGCGCGGCAGGACCCCCACGAAGTTCTCCGCAGGCTACAGAATGACCTAGACTCAACTTTCCCGCCCAAAAACAAGGGTGGTGTTCGGCTCGACCGCATTATTGAGCCGGAAGAAACCGATAGCGATAACGATGATGATACCCGCAACCAGCAAAAGAGCACGAAACCAAGAAAAGAAAGGGTCGGCTCCAGATCCGCCCTCGCTGCCGCGTCCACCCAGATATTCTCCGCTATCCGTGACCGCAAATCTCAATTCTCCTCACCCTCCGCCACCTTGCCAGAAACCTGCGGCCTCCCCCCAGCCATCTTCGACCGCTTGACTCTCACACACGCCACCACGACCGAATTCCTCCATCAATTCTGGCAAGCTTTCCTATCCGGGAATCCGGACCGGGCCGGCGAAATTGCATCTCTGGTCGAGTCATTAAATCGCGCTATGGATCGCATCAAAGCCGTGGCGGACGAAGCGGAGAAGGAGCGCCAGGTAGAAATTGAAAAACTGAAACGGCATGCCAGAGAAGTCATGGCGTCGACGGGGAAGAATATCCGGCCCAATTTGAAGGGGGTGGAGGGCGGGGGAAAGACGGTTAACGCGCTTTTAGAGCCGACGGTGAAGGCATTGGGGAAGGCGTTAGACGAGTACAGGAAGGCCTTGACCCAGGCACAACAGGTCCAAGTTCAGGAGGGCACAGGGGGACCAGCAGCAGGGGGAGAAGGATAGTTTTGTCCGATTGGGCTACACAAATATTTCCTATCACCCGGTACTGAGGGCATCCGGTTTCTATGGACGCATTGGCTACGATTGCATACGTTGCTCCTGCATGTTGCGCAGGCAAAAATTTACTTAGTTTTCCCCTTGTCTATTAGCATGTTAGAGAAAAGCGTTAGCTGGTTTTGCCTCACCGTTGGCGGCCCTTTCATATTCGGCGTTGTTCTGTATTTTATTGGGAAATGGCGTACGGAGTAAAGTGAAATTGATGACGTATGTCACTCACTGCCACTCATCCAGCCAAGGGAATTGACTTCTGCAGACCGCTGTTATAGATTAATGGGTTCGGTTCGGTCCGATGGAGCGTGTTTTCTAGTTGTGGAGAGTAAATGGTTTTGTGGGCACAAACAGCAAGACCTGGGGTTGGTACTCCATAGAACTAAATAGCCCGAACCTAGCTAGACCAACTGAATGCCTTGAAGCCGTTATGTATATAGTAACGTAATCCACAAGCGAGTCGGCCACACAAGCGAGTCGGCCACTTTTCATCATCTCACTGTGCTATTAAACATAACAATTAAAATATCAACAATGCAAAGTCATCAAGCTTCCTTTCAAGAAGGAAGACTTCTTTTAGCTATTCAAGCACTTGATAATAATCAAATTTCAAGTGTATGAGCTGCAGCAAAGCTCTATGGTGTTCCACGCTCTACTCTAGCTGATCGCATACATGGTCGTACAACACGCGTTGATACTCCACCAAAGAACCGAAAACTCAGTCTTACAGAGGAAGAATCTCTTATTCAATGGATTCTATCCATGGCTGCACGAGGGAAACCACCCCAGATCGCGACTGTACGAAATATGGCCAATTTACTCCTTTTTGAACGAGAAATCAAATCTGAATCCAAGCCTCCATCAACAGTTGGTGTCAACTGGGTACAAAACTTTGTCAATCGTCATAATGAGTTAAAATCCAGATTCTCCCGAAAGTATGATCACCAGTGAGCTCTATGTGAGGATCCTGAGATAATTCGTGGATGGTTCAACCTCATACGAAACACCATTGCAAAGTATGGGATTGCACACGAAGATATATACAACTTTGATGAGACTGGGTTTCAAATGGGTGTTATTGGAACAGCCAGAGTGGTTACTGGATCAGAGAGAGTTGATAATCCCAAGCTTATACAGCCTGGAGATCGAGAATGGGCTACTGTTATTGCAGGAGTCAATGCAACTGGTTGAGCTTTACATACAATGATTATTCTGAAGGGAAAGATGCATCAATCCTGTTGGTATGAGACTGGAAAGCTGCCACATGACTGGATGATTGGAGTCAGTGAGAATGGATGGACAAATGATAAGCTGGGGTTAATCTGACTTAAGGAGATATTTGACAAGGACACTCAATCTCATACAAAGGGCATATATCGACTCTTGATTCTTGATGGACATGAAAGTCATGCTTCAGCTGAATTTGATCAATTCTGCTCTGAGAACAATATTATTGCTCTCTATATGCCACCTCATTCATCTCATCTTCTTCAGCCCTTGGATGTTAGCTGTTTCTCTCCTCTAAAGAAGGCGTACGGACAACATATGGAAGAGCAAATGTGGCTTGACATTAATCACATTGATAAGAAAGAGTTTTTGACTCTATATTCAGCAGCTCATATGAAAGCTCTGAATGAGAACAACATCAAAAGTGGTTTCAAAGCTACAGGGTTAGTTCCGTACGATCCAGAGCAAGTCCTCTCACGCTTTAATACTCAGATGCATACACCCAGCCCTCCAGGAACTTCTCTTAGTTCTCAAGCCTCCTGAGCCACAGCCACACCACACAATGTACAACAAGTGGATCTTCAGGCCAAGAAGATTAAAGAATACATGCAACATCATACACAGGGTTTATCCAGTCCAACCAATCGAGCTATGAATCAGCTGATTAAGGGATGTCAAATGGCTATGCATAGTGCTGCTATTTTAGCAAAGGAAAACAAGGAACTAAGAGCTGCAAATGAGAAGCAAAAGAGAAAGTGAGAGAAAGGTCGTACATATGTAGCTCAGGAAGGTGTTTTAAGAGTTAAAGAAGGAATAGATCGCGTACGAAGTGTCAATGAAGAGGAAAGAGAGAGGATAGAGATTTCTGACTCTCAACCACGAAAACGTGCAGCACCTCGATGTAGTAGATGTGGTACTATTGGACATACTGCTCGTACATGTGAAAGCAGATTTGTAAATAATTCTTAATATAATTATTGTGGCGGACGTAAAGCTTGCGAAAACAGAATTTTCTGCCACCCCCTGAAAAATAGTAGCAAAACACCGCAGAAATAACCAAAATATCCACGTATCTCTAGAATCATTCAAATATCATCCAATTCATTCAAATACGCACCTTTATCATCAAATCTGCACCTTTATCATCAAATCTGCCAATATGCCCCGCAACACCCACCGTTCTACTGCCTCGCAAGCTCGTAAAAGGACTCCAACTACCCTGCGCCTTCGTCTGTCCAAACCGCCTGTTCCGGATGTTCCGGATAATGACGAGAATCCAACTGATGATGAGAAGGAGGATAAGGAGGAGGAGGAGGAGGAGGAGACACAGTCAGAAGATCCTCGATTTCTGCGAACACCTACCCCTGAGCCTGAGATCTCATTCAGGCTGTATGAACGGGTGATTATCAATGGGATAAAGTAGCCTATAAAGATCAAGTTACGGAATGTCACAACAAATGATATGACTGTCAGCTTCTATCGTATCCAATATCTCCCTCAACTCCTTCTTCATCTAATATTGTGTCTCCAAGTGAGATAATCAATGTGATGGTGATGAAATATATGATGGAAAGGAATGGGAGGCATGGGAGGACTGAATTCAAACTTGTCATCGAATTCAAACTTGCCATCAAATTCAAACTTGCCATCGAATCCGAACCTGCCATCGAATCCGAACCTGCCATCGAATCCGAACCTGCCATCGAATCCGAACCTGCCTCCTATTCGAAGTAGTCCAATCCCTCAGTTTGGTGAACACGCGGATCTGTTTATTGATGAGTTCTTCAACTGGTTGATGACAGAGAGACCTCGAAGAGCAGAAGCTCTTTTAACTGCAAAGAGCATTATTCAGAATGAAGGATTTGAACTGGATCATATACGGACAATGACAAATGAGCAGGTGGTTCAGTTGAATATTGGAATGGGTATATTCTCGATAATAAGAAATGGGTTAAAGAGTCCTATCTGGCAGTCACAGTTGAAGGAGATTAAATTGTCTTTATCTGCTGTTTGTAATGATGGCAGCAGACCTCATACTGCTTCTGCTTCTGAATTTGAAACTTAAATATTATATATCATCATAATTGAATTGCAATCTGAATCTTTTTAAATTTTACAATACTATCCTATATGAGCAGATCTGAAATATCCTCTTGCATCTTCTTCTCCCATGAAATTCTCAACTGCATGATGCAAGAAGGTTTCAAAATCTCCATCAAACTGATTCTCTAACTGACATCTGTATCTTCTAATCCATTCTTTCAACGCGTGAAATGACTCCTCTATAGGATTATAATCAGGAGAATATGGAGGTAAGAATAAAAGTCCAATGCCAGCTTCTCTGCAGAGATCTCGCAGTGCTTGTGAACGATGAGAAGAGCAATTATCCATCACTAAGTAGTGATAACCTCGTTGGGCATTTGGGCAGTATCCGGACACGTACAAACTCATTGAACCTCTCTGTATTATAGGACCCCTGATATATATCATAATCAAGATATCCATTGACACTTATTGCAGGTAAGATTGACCATCTGCGAGATCGTTTACAGGGCCTTCTAATGTGACAAGGGAATCCTCTGCTTGACCATCCATATCGTCGATCTGCAGTACGTTCATTCGCAGCACTCTCATCTAAAAAGATAAGTTGATCAGGTTGATACTGAGTAACTTGAATACGCCATTCAGCTCGAAGTTCTTCGTTGCGTTGACTGGCCACAGGTTCAACCTATATCAAATAGAACTGACAGATTAGCAGGTTCTATAAGTGACAATTGCAATAATTAATCACCTTCTTCCGTGTCAAATTCAGTTTCTTCAACAATCTAGATATCGATCGAGGGTGGATATCAACATCAAATTCATCCTTCACAAAGCAGACAGCCTCATCGCGATATGCAGTTGAATATGCCTCAAAAAAGTCCTCCAAACCTGACAAGATATCCGGTGTGATCTTTGGCTTTACACCCCATGTTGAACGAGGACTTCTAGCAGTTCCAAAGCAGCAAATATTTCGTTGGATTCGATATACAGTGGCCAGATGGCACTCAATGGTCCGCGCAATCTGAGCAGGCATATAACCATCGTTTAGAAGGCGTACGATCTCATTGGTGGTAAATTCGCTGAGCTGGGGGGGCATATTGGCAGATTTGATGATAAAGGTGCGTATTTGAATGAATTGGATGATATTTGAATGATTCTAGAGATACATGGATATTTTGGTTATTTCTGCGGTGTTTTGCTACTATTTTTCAGGGGGTGGCAGAAAATTCTGTTTTCGCAAGCTTTACGTCCGCCACAATAGCTGAGAAGGGTGACTTAACAGTGCCGAATTGCAGAAAGGGATCCACGACAGGCACAACTGAAACTGGCGAACTAGTGCTCATGGACAGTAGAAAGTAGCACGAGCTCCAAGTACATATACAAATCCCCGTGCGATTCCTTTCAACCTCCGCTCCCAGTTGCCCATGCGTCGCAGCGACGGCGTGGTCCATGTCCGCAGGATCATGATGCCCCGCAATCGGTCAAACCAGGATATAGGGCTCAACCCTGTTTTAGGGCGCCCAAACAGGAAATCAACAACCACAGCTCTCGAGCTACGGATTGCTAGAACTGCTAGACATCCCAGCCACCCTGAAGCAGCCAACTGGAGGAGACGAAAATACTCAGCCAAGTCGCGTGTTCCCCCTTTTCTTTGGCTTTTTTTTTCTCGCTCCCGTTCCCTTTTTGTCTCCTTTCCTCCCTCCTGAACGAAGCGGGAAGAGAAACGTCGCACATAGCACCCTTCAAATTTCCAGGTATTCGTTCCCGTGCATCAAAGGGAAAGGGAACAGAAAGACAGCAGCTTCGTTTGTAGCTTGTGTCTAATCTTGTCTTTGAACGTTTTACTTTACTTTCCTTGCAGTGCTGGGTTGGGACTTGGGCCTCCGTGTTCTCCCTGCGTCAAAGGAGAGATAAAAAAAAAAGAAAGAAAGAAAATAAAAGAAAGAACAAAAATTCCAGGTACGGTTGGTGCAGAGAAACAAAGGGTTTATTTAGCCTATTTGCTGTGAGACGCAGACTTTTCGTTTTCTCACCAACTGATATAAATATATATATATATATTTAGATATATCCCGCATATCCTCCCTGTCTAATTCATTAAGCCGAACTGAGTTGATAGGCTTTTGCCTACCACATCGTCCCTGAAGACTATCTAATACCCTGGCCTGGAGACCCAGAAGCAAAAAGGGAAGAAGGACAGGAGAAGCAGAGAAAGCCGCCATGCTCCGCAGAAGTTCCTCCAAGAGCACTTCCGAACGCGCCTCTGCATTGAACGCAGCCGCAGCCACATTTTCGCCGACTCAACTTTCTGTCGTCCAGCCGGTCGGTGTCGATATGCCCGACGCCAGCTCCGACGGAGCGGATTTCGTTCCGGCCGAGTATGTCAAGGAGGGCGAGAACATTTTGACGGTCGATGGTCTGGCGACGGATGCTGAGACCTACATGCCGTTTTCGGGGTTTCAGTTAAGGAGGGAGGAAATTGAGTGGGAGGCGTTTCAGATCCAAAAGGCAAAATTGGAGCTCCACTCGAGACATAGGCTTGAGGTTGAGAAAGTAACGTTGGGCCTTTCCTTAGAAATTGAACGGCTGAAGCAAGAGTTGAATGCGATCAAGAACTCGAATAATGGGAGTGGGAGTGGGAGTGGGAATGGGAATGAGAACGAGAATAGGAATGCGGCAGGTGGGGGCAATGGAGAACCGCTCGCTTGTATCGAGAAAGAAAATCAGGGCGATATCGACAACGACGAGGAAGCGGAGAAACCTGATGGGGAGGCCGTAGTCGGCAAGAAGATAATCGCATTTCTCCGGCTGACAAAGGATGTTCCTTACCCGCATCGCCTGTATGGTAAAAACAATTACTCAAGCTGGCGGGAATCGATCCTTTCCATTGCTGAGACCACAGGATGCAGCCATATCATCGATGACGGGCAAAAATGCTCTCCCTTCACGGACGAAAATACGTACTTATGGGACCAGCAGAATGACTGGCTGTATGATTTGATATGGAACTCGCTAAGTTCCCAGGCAATGGAGTCGGTCACTCAACCAAAGAGACGCTCTGCATATCTTCTCTGGAATCAGCTGGAATCTACATTCCGTCAGCCGCTTGAAGAGGAGCGCCGCTCCATTTTCCACAGCCTGTATCCGTCTCACCAAACCAGTGATAGGGAATATATCAAACAGTATCAGGAGGCGAGGAGGAAGCTGGAGAAGCTTGGTTTTCCAGTTCCTGATTGGCTGTTATATGATATTCTGTATGAGAATGTTTCAAGCACTTCGCAAAAAATTATCCATACAAATTTTGTACTGAAACAAGAAGAGACGCCCAAGTCC